ATTGTCACTTTAAGTTCACGGCTCCACTGACAGCAAACCCAAGTCGATCTTCCGCTCACCCTCCCTTTTCCGCCTGGCTGGGGGCAATGATGGCGTTCGGCTACCTGTGATGGCTGTTCTGAGATAAAAGGTCTTCTTTAGATGCCTCAGATGGAAGCATCTTTGACATGGCTGTCATTGTCTTTGGAGTGGGAGGTGGGCTGCCAGCCTTAGGGGTCAAAGGGTGCTGATTACCAGCAGACGGCTGCAGAATGTAAAATAATAGGGGTTCCTCTGTGGGGGGAAGGGAGCTTATGCCAATCCTGAGATATTCTATTGTAGTGTTTCTCAAACTGGTCCTAAGGGATTCCCAGATGGTCCCCAAGGACCGGCTTGAGGAACACTTTTCTGTTGGAGCTTTTTCTTGCTGTTTAGAGGCGACACCTTAGAGGTGACACCCTTCACAAATCAGTGTGTGTGTTATGTGCTGGAGGGGAAACCAAGCCAGGAGGATTTTTCAAAGAAGGCCTTTGAAACCCTGCTGGAGTCTGGAGATTCCATCGGATTCCCAGCCCAGAGGACAAATCCTCTGTGAATTTGGTAAAATCGCTAAGGGCCCATGGTCAGCAGCAATAAGTAGATGGCGAGCAGCATTACCCAAGGGAGCCCTTTAAATGAAGCAGTCAATGCCTGGCGACACAAAACCAACAGGTCAGAAAAACTGGCTATATGTTTATTACAGTTGCAACTGCAAGAGGACAGGGACTGACGAGCAAGGCCTGAAAGAAGGCCTCAAACATGCATGGTTTGGGTGTATTAATCAATATATGATACTAAATGTCCTGACATGAAACATTGGTAGACCTGCTCCTCGCGGGCAGGATGCTTTCATAAGGAGTGGAGGTTTGTGGTGGTAGGATACTGTGTAACAGGGAGAGGGTAGGGTAGGAACATAAGGAGGCTATTCTAGGGTAGAGCTGATGTCGGGCTTAGAGAATCCCCAGGCTTGGGCAGTCTGTGTGTCTATGCGTTACAGTTTATGGGATAACAAGACCAGTACTGGGATGGGTACTGTACTTTCACGACAGATATTTGACTGATTTCTCCATATCCAGACATGCAGACATGCTGTATTTGTGCTTTTGTTTATGTTTGTGTGTTTAATACCTCCTACACCCACATGATAGCAGTAATTTAATCACCATTCATGCCTATAATCGCAGCCGCTCTTGGGCGTACAGTGCACCGTCATTTAGCGGGCGAATCGGAGGACTTCTTTGTCTGCTGTAATCGCTGTGGGATGCGCTGCATGAATGTGTCACTGCACGGCTTCCAGGCAGGCGATGTTTTGTAGGCCTCCATGGTAACCAGCCTGGGGTAGAGAAGTTTGGTTTTAGCCACCAGCTAAGCCAGACCCCATGAGCGAGTGGCTAATGGCTAAGCAGGGTCATGTGAGCTTTGTGGTGGAGGTATGGCTAGTGGCGAATGGCTAAGCAGCCGTCATGCAGAACCCACGACCTTGCAGGAGAGCTGGCCTTTGGGACTGGCTGGTGAGCCCCTGAGGGCCTGGGGGGTCAAGGTGGGATGTAACAGATGTTCATCGCCCAGGGGGCTCGGATGACCTTAGGAGTGTACTCCTTTCATTAATTGCTTTATTTTGCTTTTAATTTTACCAGTTGCAGGCCTTTGTTCTGTGCTGTTCCTGCCCATTATGTGGGGGCAGCCGTTGCTGGGCGAGGACGCCCTAACATCCGTAAGAATTGAGCTCAAATTGATTGAATTCATGAGGGGGCTTGTCACTGTTTTGTCACCATGTGCTTGCCATGGGGCCCAGCTCTGACCATGTGCCACTTGGCTAGATCCTGGCCTCAGTTTGTTACCATTTGACCTCCCGGTCCCAGAATGCTCTCCCCATAGGTACTTTAAAGGACATTTTTTTTTTTTACCTAGTTGTTTCTATCAACTCTGTTACCGTGTCTGAGCAGAACAGCTGGTTGGTGGTTGTCTTTACACACAGCATCAGCACCATGTGCAGCGCGGCATATACAGGGTGGAGAAAAAGGCATGCACTTTTGTGCCAGGAGAGCCAATTGGTGTTTGCGAAAGCCACAGCTAGCTGCCGGACTGATGCATCATGGGATTCCTGCCCCCTTCTTCAGCTTCAGCTTCCGATGTCCATTTTAACTTCATGGCGAGCGACATCTAATGATTTATAAATCAGAGCTGTTTAGCATGAGGCGTTTTTATGATCTCCCCCTCCCCCCCCCCCCCCAGTAATTTACGATAATTCCTCCCGAGGAAATCGAAACCTGAAATGCCGGAATAGGAGTGTTGGGGGGGAATAAATCCGAAAAGGATTACGTGTCTCCTGTAGGCCAGGATGTAGAGTAGCATTCCTGGAAAACAGCGTCCATGAAAATATAAACAGAAAGTGGTGCCGTATACAGTTTATTAAAAAACTTTATCGCAGGAGGCCAACCGCAGGGATGCTGTAATCTGGCTCGTGGTCGCAGGCGGGTAGGTTTGCGGTCTGTGTCGGGACACGCCAGCCTACTTTGCTTCTTCTTTCGCACGTTTTGTTTCCCGGCCGCTCTCGACCCAGAGTGTCCCCGGCAGGCCACCAGCGCTTTCTTCCTCTGACGGCTCTGCCGTCCTGCTGTCACACCGCCTCACCCTGTCTGTCGCAGTGGTTTTGCCGCACATGGGGAGGAGGGGGGAGCAATTGCTTGTGGGCTCGTGAGAGGAATGTGTCGGACAGGAATCCCATGAGCAGGATGTAATCCGAGCCCCTCCTCCGGCTGCTGGTTGGCTAATCAAAAATCTGGAACGATCAAAATAGGTTTTGGGTTCCTCCCCCGGGCGGGAACATTGAGGAATGCTCGGAATTAACCTCTTATCGTGGGATTAATAATTAAGCTTAAGGTGCCCCCCCCCCCTAGAGTTGGGCGTAAACCTCAAAACACGCTGGGTTTGAGTGATTATATCTTGTTAGTGGATGGGTATGAACTGGATTCGTCTCCTGTGACGGCTGGCCAGGTATTTTCTGGGACCCCCTACCCACTTATTAGTGAGACACAGGGGTCATTCTGGGATTTTTTTAAGGTGGGGGGCCATAAATCACACAGATGTGCCAAATTTAATAGGCAGTGATGTGTCTTGGGGCACTACTGGGGCCAGTCAGCTTTCAGCTGGGGGCAGTGCCCCTATGGCCCCGTCCCCAAATAGCCCCCTGGTGAGCTACCAGTTCAGCATGGATAAACGTCTGGCTGGTAGGCTCCAGCCTGTAGGGATGGTACTGCTTCTCATAAGGGCGAGACAGGGAACATCCATCTGCTTTTAGCTGAGTTCTGCCACAAAAACTGATAAACGGATGGGTGACAGGCTGTTTGTGAACATCCGCCTGTGTTTTGTGTGTATGTGTGTGCCTGCGTGTTCAGGTGTGCGTACGCTCTGTTGTCATGGCTCCCCCCCCACCCCCATCTGCCCTCTCTTCCCCTCCCTCTTTTTCTGTTCTCCCACCCCATGAGATCAGGTCCAATGCACCACAATGCTCAGATGGGTTAGGGTTCTGAGACAATATGATTACCGTAGGACACACCATGCTAATAAGTGGCACCAAGACTTCAGTCCAGGAAACAATGAACCTCTGAGCAAAAGGCTGAGCATGCACATGCGTGCCTAGGAGCCTGGCTGTTCGGAGTAAATCAATGTGTGCCTAACATGAGATGTAGGGCTATGTTTAACGGTGCCCTTTGCTGTTATAGCCTCCGTTTCCAGGGGGACGGCACAGACCAAGCTGCAAATGCTTCCAGTGCAAGAGGACAGCTTGCGTCTGCTGCCACCCTGTGGCAGCTATATACATTGCAATGCTAGAGTGTCTTTTTCTTTTGGCTGATCAGGGGAGTTTTGCTGTAGTCAACCCGCTGTGCACAGTAGCGCCAACCGATGCCAAAAACCATGGAAACCCAGGCAAGAGATAGGGATGGGTGTGAGAGGCCTCTTGCCTTTGCTCTGGGCCATGTGTATGGCCTCCATTCATCAGCAGCAAGGAGGGCCTGACTGTGCATCCCACACCCTGATTATGGCGCCCCCTGGGGGCTTGGAGGAAGGTCTGCCATTGTAGTGGGCATGATAACAGCCTACATCATCCATCTCTTTGTGCAGGTTAACCATCAGGGGAAGTGCTGGCGGGAACAGAAGGTCTGGAGCATTCTGTCTTGTTCTAGCAGGTTCCACGGATATGCAGGGAATCCCAGCAGCCCTGGATCGGGCCCCTAGCGGGGCCGCGGCCAGTCTGATTGCTATAATCGGATCACCCAGCTGCCCCTCCACTTATCGCTCACACCAGCAGCTATTCATCAAAAACTTCCCAAGTCCCCCCATCCTCCTCTGGTCTCCAAGTAGCTGTGTAATGATTTGGGTATGAGGGACACATACAAGCTCAAGGGGGCGCTGTGACGCCTGCCTCATTCTTGTCATCTTGAACCACCAGACCAGCACGTTATAAGGGCCCCAAATTTAACCGTACAGGCAAGACATATCAGGGAACCCCAAGCAGGGGGTCCAAGGTGACATCTTGTCGGGGGGCTCAGAATTTACTGCTATGCCCCTGCCCATGACTGTGGGTCTTGTCCCAGCATGTGGGGAGGGGTTTGTCAGCTGGATTTCTTTGGGGGGGTGGGGGGTTGGTATGATTTAGCGTCGCTGCCTGCAGTCCACACACACAGTTCCATACATCACTGGCATCATAAGGAGGGACGGGCAGCTGTTGCCTATAAATCTGGGCCTTCTCGGTGGGGCTGCGGAGAGCTGATAGCAGGCTGCGTAAGGACGCGAGCTGGAACTCCGGCAGCTGCCAGCTCCTGTCTACAAAGTGCCCTGCCCTGCCACGGAATGATCTGGAACATTCACGCGAGGCAAATTGCGATTCACATTTGGGTTTGTCTGGATTGTTCCCCTCCACTCTTACCTTCTTGCTCATTAACCCCGCTACCCATGCTTTCTCTGTCACCCCCCTGCAGGAAGTTCTATTACATCACGTTGCTGCGCGATCCTGTGTCACGCTACCTGAGCGAGTGGCGGCACGTGCAGCGCGGCGCCACCTGGAAGACGTCGCTGCACATGTGCGACGGACGCACGCCTACGCCCGAGGAGCTGCCCTCCTGCTACGAGGGCGGTGATTGGTCAGGCTGCACGCTGCGCCAGTTCATGGACTGCCCCTACAACCTGGCCAACAACCGGCAGGTGCGAATGCTGGCCGACCTCAGCCTGGTAGGGTGCTACAACGCCTCCTTCGTGCCCGAGAAGAAGCGTGCCCAGATGCTCCTCGAGTCGGCCAAGAAGAACCTGCGCGACATGGCCTTCTTTGGCCTCACTGAGTTCCAGCGCAAGACACAGTACCTGTTTGAGAGAACCTTCCGGCTTCGCTTCATCCGGCCCTTTGTGCAGTACAACAGCACGCGGGCGGGCGGCGTCGATGTCGATGATGAAACGGTGCTGCGCATCGAGGAGCTCAACGAGCTCGACATGCAGCTCTACGACTATGCCAAGGACCTTTTCCAGCAACGCTACCAGTACAAGCGACAGCTGGAGCGCCGGCAGCAGCGCCTGGCTCTCCGGGGTCACGCCGAGGGCCCCGTGCGCCGCTCCCGGACCGACCGGCCCCGGGATGAGGGCCCCGAGGATGCGTCACGCCTGCCAACTGAGGACTATATGAACCACATCATCAGCAAGTGGTAGCGAGTGGAGCTGGGACGTGCCTGGCCTGGGGTGACAGAGTTCAAGTTGCTTCATTTTGGGACAAGAAAATGGAGGAACGTGTATAGCAATGGTGGAGGTCTCTGACTAACCATGTGATCATCAATGCTAAGGATAGACACTACCTTGAAACAGTGGAGGGGTGTGAATTAGATCTGTGCAATGATGGTACAGATCATGTATCAGGGGTCTACGGGAAAGAAAATGACGGGCGATAATTTAGAAAGATAACACATGGTGTAAAGTGAAACAGCTAAGCTTGCATTGGACATGCTAACAAGTATGTTTCTGCCATTGAACCGGACTGCTTTACTGAATGGGATTGGAACATTTAAGATGTGCTTCACTATGTCATGGAGCCTTTCAGACATAGTAAAGATGTGCTTCACTATGTCATGGAGCCCTCCGCTGATGCTTCTTTTTGGGATTCATGACCACTTTTATGTGACCTGTGGATTGCATATCTCTATACTCATCTGGTCATGCTTATATTGAACCCCTTGGTGTATCCAGACAGGCGCGTTAAAGATAAACGGACAGCATTTTAGAGTTAGTATGGGCCTTAGGCCATCCTTTGAGTTATCCTCTAAGTATGAGAAGTGGCCCACCCACTTACATGGCCCTCACCAGGTGATCTGTACAACCAGTTGTCGGTAGCGCCTTGCTATGTTCACTGTTACAGTGATTGGCTGAAATCTAGTCACATGACTGTTCTCCAGCAGCCTGTCAAAGATTTTTTGTAATTATTCTTGTTCTTTATGTACTGTTCGTTTGTTTTCACGTGTGATGATTTATGATGTCAGAATGCAGCAGGACTTGCTGTGGCCCCCTCCACTGGGGGCTCTTTTGCACCCCCCCGCCCCCCCAAAAGGCAGTTGCCATGCGACATAGTAATATTTTGTAAGACATGTTTCATTATAGGATCTTTTTAAAACAAGCATTCCATCACCACAATCACCTTCACTGCCATCATAATCACTTTTGCCTGATCACCACAAAACCATGGGTATGTCCATGTTGGGGGTGTGGCATGACTGTAGAATTACATGGAGAGCTCCTTCTACCAAGGAAATACTGTGGGGAGCTATGCAACTTGCAGGGCAGGTGGTGATGATAAAAGTTTTTGACCAGCAATGGGTTGGGGAGGGTGAGAAATTAATCCAGTTTCTTATAACTGGATACTTGTTGGCTCGCTGCAGGCTGCTAGTAGCTTGCACCCAACACATTGGTGACCGCTTCTAGAATGTTGCCAGGTTCCTTTTCCAGAGTCACATTCTAGAATGTGCACAGCATTCCACAGGGATTCCCCTGGGGGGCTGGAATGTAAGGCCCCCTCACTTCACTGGGGCTTCATTGTGCCAGTAATGTTCTGTAAAAATATGCAGGAATATCGGTGCTTTCCCACCGCAGGATTTTTTTTCAAGAACCAAAACTGGGACCAGGAACTTCTGTCGTGTTCCAGAGCCACGACCGTAGGATTGTAGTTTCTCTGAGGCTATTCCAGAACTTTTTTTTATTCCCTACTCTGGACAAGACACTACTAAGGTGGGCCTTATATTGATAAACTTGGTGATTGGTTTAGCACAAGCACCAGCGCTAACTACATGGAAGTGCAGGGAAAGGAGATGGAAATAGTGGAGCAAAAACTGAGCAAATGGAATTATTTTTGTATCTCAGTTGCATTTAATGCATTAATGGATTCCTATTTACTTGCGTCTCCAAATTTCTGCATCGGAAAATTTGATTGATAACCAGTATACTTTTGTCTAATATCGCCAGTGCTGGTGGTGAAACTTGCCAGCGCTTATTGACAGGATAACGTTACGTCATTTTTTTTATTCCGTTGAAAACTAAACATCAATCTGCTGGCCAGATTTAATAATAAATTATAAATATGTTGCGAGTTGTAAAATATAAATATAACTCTGTGTCCCATTTTGATCACAGTCGATTCCCCCAGTAACTAACAACGACAAAAAGACGACTTTTTTATCCTCCATTGTATTAGCATGGCAGTGTAGTTTCATATGGAATTATGTGTGAAGTTGATGCTATAAACTTTTTGCGTCTTTCATGCTTGTTTAGCATTAAGGTCCCGGTTCTTGTGGTACAGTGGGAAAGCGACTTATGAAAGTGGCCAGGAGTTACATAATGGAGATGGCCCAGGAACTAGATGGGTCGAGATGGCCCAGGAACTAGGAACCAGCTATATATATATATATATATACACACTCACCTAAAGGATTATTAGGAACACCATACAAATACGGTGTTTGACCCCCTTTCGCCTTCAGAACTGCCTTAATTCTACGTGGCATTGATTCAACAAGGTGCTGAAAGCATTCTTTAGAAATGTTGGCCCATATTGATAGGATAGCATCTTGCAGTTGATGGAGATTTGTGGGATGCACATCCAGGGCACGAAGCTCCCGTTCCACCACATCCCAAAGATGCTCTATTGGGTTGAGATCTGGTGACTGTGGGGGCCATTGTAGTACAGTGAACTCATTGTCATGTTCAAGAAACCAATTTGAAATGATTCGAGCTTTGTGACATGGTGCATTATCCTGCTGGAAGTAGCCATCAGAGGATGGGTACATGGTGGTCATAAAGGGATGGACATGGTCAGAAACAATGCTCAGGTAGGCCGTGGCATTTAAACGATGCCCAATTGGCACTAAGGGGCCTAAAGTGTGCCAAGAAAACATCCCCCACACCATTACACCACCACCACCAGCCTGCACAGTGGTAACAAGGCATGATGGATCCATGTTCTCATTCTGTTTACGCCAAATTCTGACTCTACCATTTGAATGTCTCAACAGAAATCGAGACTCATCAGACCAGGCAACATTTTTCCGGTCTTCCAACTGTCCAATTTTGGTGAGCTCGTGCAAATTGTAGCCTCTTTTTCCTATTTGTAGTGGAGATGAGTGGTACCCGGTGGGGTCTTCTGCTGTTGTAGCCCATCCGCCTCAAGGTTGTGCGTGTTGTGGCTTCACAAATGCTTTACTGCATACCTCGGTTGTAACGAGTGGTTATTTCAGTCAAAGTTGCTCTTCTATCAGCTTGAATCAGTCGGGCCATTCTCCTCTGACCTCTAGCATCAACAAGGCATTTTCGCCCACAGGACTGCCGCATACTGGATGTTTTTCCCTTTGCACACCATTCTTTGTAAACCCTAGAAATGGTTGTGCATGAAAATCCCAGTAACTGAGCAGATTGTGAAATACTCAGACCGGTCCGTCTGGCACCAACAACCATGCCACGCTCAAATTTGCTTAAATCACCTTTCTTTCCCATTCTGACATTCAGTTTGGAGTTCAGGAGATTGTCTTGACCAGGACCACACCCCTAAATGCATTTAAGCAACTGCCATGTGATTGGTTGATTAGATAATTGCATTAATGAGAAATTGAACAGGTGTTCCTAATAATCCTTTAGGTGAGTGTATATGCATCCAAGTGCATTTAGTGGGACAGTTACCAGCCTACTGTATGGATCTATGCTAAGAACACATTCCTTGTTTTTAATTTCAGACTTTATTACTAGTGTGTATCCATTCTAAATTATTCACTCTGCTTGCACTAGGCTAGAACCACAGATGATGGGAAATAAGAGTCTGGAGTTTTCCCATCACAGAAATCACTCCCCTGTCAGTCTCCACCATCTCTGGACCCGTCTGTAAAAATACCAGCTATTTCCTAAGGGGGCGCTAATTGCTGTCAGAGGCCACATTCTGTAAATTAGCTAGAGCTGTGAGACTTGCGGCATGTGTTCCTTTAATTGAATATGGGGAATAGCACAGCATTCCCTTTGGCTAATGGAGAAGCAGCATGGAACCTCAATGGCCACGATGAGCTGCTTCTTCTGGTCAAAGCCACCGTGGTAGAGATGGGAGTTTTGATGTTGCCCATTGTCTGGTATGAAGCGTAGATCAAACACTGTCTCTGAGCTGTCATCTGTCTCCCAGAAGGAGCTGATAGTGGCAGGAAGGGCACAGGGGACTCTACTGACTTTGTGGGTTTAAAAAAAATAATAAATGGACCAATCCATGTGCTAAGTCTGATCACATGACCAAGTAAGAGACCAACCGAGAGGAAAATTGTAAGCTCTCTTTCAAGGGAGTTTGGTTCAAACAATTCAGTTCTTGGGAGGGGGGGGGGGGCTGCTAAAGACCCGGTGGAGGGGGTGGAGTTGGCACCTTCTTCATGTGTTTCTGTACTGTGTCCTGATTTTCCTTTACGATGCTGTGAATTGTTTTGTCATTCATGCAAAAATGGATCCCTGAATTTGACATTAAAGAGAACTCGTTTGTAAAGAAAGTGTCCTCAGCGTCTTTCTGGTCCCGGGGACTTTTTTGGAGAATCTCGACCACAGGTCTGGAAAGGGGGTTTATGTTCCTGTCGTCTGCGGCTCTGCCGGCTGCCTCAGCCGCTCTGCATTTTGCTGAATTCTGACTGTCTGTGTGCCGTTTTATTCACTGGGTGAAACCCCAGGTGCTGTGCACGCCGTACCATGGCAACCGCACGTTATTGAATTATATCTGTATATAAAACAAACCAGACAGAACATATGAGAGCTTATCCGTAATCATTAACACCTAATTCCATACTAATTAACTTCATTGCCTAACTGCAATTCCACAATTAAATATGATTGGAGCTCGTTACCTCACAAAAGGGTGGAAAGCGCAGGTAATCACCACAGCAGCTCAGCCAAAGTCGCCCCAAGGAGAGAGCACTGCACTCCAAGAAGCCATTTGTTTTTAATTATCATAAAGAGCCAGTGGTAAATTTAGGCCACTGTTAAGCCCTTTATGTGTCCCCTGTGACCCCCGTCTGGCCAAAACCAATGTAATTGGCAGCGTGAACTCTGACATGGCCAATAGGAGCTGGCCGTCCACGTGTCCATCCATCCATTTCCAACAGCTGCTCAGTGAAATAGAATTATGGCGACTCAGGGCTGTTCCCAGAAAGCACGAGAGAAATAGTGCACCCTGCTTAGAAGTCATGGTGACCCAGAAGTGTTGCCAGGCAGCACAGGACGTGTTGCGTGGTCCGTCCTGGTCAGAGTCATGGGGTGCATCCAAACACGGTACCTGGATGTCATACTGCATTAGGCGTAATTCCGATGGATGCCACGCTATCCCACAAGGCCACTGGAACTGCAAACAGAGACGGAGAACGCCACTCGCTCAGGGACATATGTCAAGATGGCAGAGGAAGTGCCGTCTCTGTACAAATTCTAGCAAAAAAAAATGCCCCATTGCAGAAGGTCCCCACTGATCTCTGGAAGACGGCAAGATCGTCTGACCTTTTCTGCCAATAGAGTAACATTAACTGCTGTTTTATCACTAAGATTATCTTAATGGATTTTAATTCACCTATAATGTTGTTGCTAAATTCTTCTTTAATCACTCTGGCAGGAGCAGCCGTGCTCGGAAAGACGCCGTATGAAATCGATGGGATTGATGAAGTTCCCCGCCGGTTTCCTGGGGGAGTGTCCGCTCCATCTGATTGGCTATGATCTGTGGCCCTGATGGGGGGGCACCAGAAAGCCAGCTGCTTTGGGCCAGTGACGGGTTTACAGCCCCCACCATAAGGTCCCCAACAGACCTGTCGGCCTTGATATACCATTCAATCGGACAAGGCTGCACAGGGTCCCGTGGCCATATTGGTGGGGGGGTGGGGGGGCTCATCCATCTCTGCTGGTGTAAATAACACACGTGCCCTTGAGATGGCTGGGGCTCGTCGGGAAACTCTCTGCCTCGATTCTGTGGCCGCACAGCCGCCTAAACACACAGTGCTCTTCCAACCTCACCTCCCAGTGTAGCCACCCCCTGATTCAGCGACAGATCGACGGAACCCCACACCTGTTCAGCTTTCCAGAGCTGTCTGCTCTGAGAACGGCAACGAGCGGGAAAATGTGAAAGAGGAAAACTTAAAACAGAAAGGAGTGCTGTTGGCCACCTTATCTCTACCGCCCCCTGTCTGTCCACGTGTGCATGCACAGCCTGCTCCATAGCCACTGCTAGGAATCACATCTATCCAGGTCATTCATCCTTTATTTCCACACTCCACTTGCTTCTCTATAATAAAATCATAAAACAGAGGCTGCACTTGTATCTCTGGGTCGACTATCAGCAGTAACAGTAATGGGTCAGTCCTCCGTGGCCAATACCATTGTCCTTCAGAAATCCAGGTTAAACAGAGGCCTTCTCCCCTGCTCTGCCGCCCCAGGGTCTCCCTCCTGCATTACATTATTATTTAGTCAGCAGACCCTTTTTTATGCTCCAGTTGGGCCTATGTGGCAGTCATACCCCAAGTTTTTTATATGTTTTATTGGTTCAGATTAATTGAGCTTTGACTCCTGGGGCCGAGTCTCTGCTGCCCAACAAAATGTACTATGGTATTGTTAGAATTGGGGTGCCTTGGTCTCAGAAGATGGGGCAACTCTGCATTGATGGAGGCTTGAGCTTCTGAGGACTTGAAGTGTGGGGGAGGATAGATGTCAACAGCTGTGCACTGTCCCCTACCCCCCCCCCCCTCAACTCTGGGCTAGCATGGCCCCCCATTTGTGGCTCTGGGTGGCTTGTTTTCTCTGCTAATCGGGGGTGGTTTGTTTTATTATTGGGGCATGAAACATTGGGGAAAACAGACTGCAGGAGATCTCAGCGCCTGTAGCCTTCAAGAGATCTCAGTGTCTTCAGACTGCAGGGGATCTCAGCACCTTCAGTCTGCAGGAGATCTCAGCGTCTTCATCCTGCAGGAGATCTCAGAGCCTTCAGTCTGCAGGAGATCTCAGAGCCTTCAGCCTACAGGAGATCTCAGCGCCTTCAGTCTGCAGGAGATCTCAGAGCCTTCAGCCTGCATGAGATCTCAGAGCCTTCAGCCTACAGGAGATCTCAGAGAATTATGCCTGGAGGAGACAACTAACCCCTAACCTTCCAGGTGCCCTTGCCAGTGGGGGTCTTGACCCCTTTTATAAATATGTAACTGCTCTATCTACTTCCTCTGCTTGTTACAGAACATCTGCCTTTATCTGATTGGATACACCTATAAGTAAGTTCATACTTATATGGAGGTTCTATGAAGTTCCTGTGCGGTGGGATGAGACAGATGTGTCTGTAGCAATGCTGCATTCTGTGCCTGTGTCTTTTGCTGTGGTGCCTGTGGTTGAGGAAACATCACACCTTCACCCGGAAAGCCCTTAAATTCTCTCCAGGCTCCGAGAGAAGCCGGGAGCCTGGGATCAGCAAGCCAACATGGAAAACAGTCAAATATTGTTACGCTGCCAGCAGTGCAAATCAC